GGAGAGGAGCGGAGGTGGGCTGGAGATCAGCTGTGACCGACAGCTGTCAGACTGTGGTCGGTCATCACGAACAACGAGAAATAAAGTTGGTGTCTGAAAACAAAGAGCTGTGCCTGTGTGTAGTGCATTCCACACCTAAACATTCACATTCTTTCTCACACAGCGCCTAAGCTACGACCTTGGCTCCCTGTTTATCTGCTCCTGCTGAGATGGGGCAGTATGCTCTGTTCTCTTCTAACCGGACAAATAAGGCGATGACTTTCTGGAACAGTATTTCTTATAACTCACAGTATAATGCATCATAAAACAAGATCATTCATTCACAATAAATCAGCAGTCTAATATAATGCAAATCAGTTTAACAAATGTAATAGTTATCACCTTCTTCTAATTCAGGAGAATAATGCAAACTAAAACTACATAATAATTCACAATCTTTAATTAGGGGTCTAACATGGCATAAAATAATATTATAATCTGACACTGGCTACAGTGCTGAAGAGAAACCTGGGGTTGTTCTTATTTTCTTCAATCAGTGACGAATAGTAAGACGTCCTGGCTTTGCGGAGGGCTTTCTTATAAAGCAACAAACTATTTCTCCAGGCTAAATGATGATCCTCTAAATCTCCAGCTCACGAGTCACAACAACGTTAATAATAATAACAATAATAATAACAACAACAATAATAATAATGATGAAGATGATGATAATAAACTTTATTAAATAAGACATTTTCTATTGAAGGCATAGTTGTAGTTCACACGAATGTGAGCAGGTCATTAATCTGTTATCATGTTTCTGAAGAAAAGAAAGAGTAACAGTAGTAGTGAAACTAAAGTTAAGCAAAGCTGTACTATATGAAATGAAAACTAACCACAGATACAAAAGATGCATTATTTAAGAAAAATAAAATGACTGACATGGAATTTAAAATTCAGCTTGCTTTTCCCAGTTTCATTTCACTTTCCTCACTAGAAAAGTGTAACTAGAGGAAAGCCATCAGGTAAAGCTTTCACGGATTTCTTCATCAGTGTGATCAACGGGTCCATAAGGCTCAAGTATTCACTCAACTGTTCGGAACCAAAGTTCACTCGTTCCTCAGCCTGATGGGATCAAATTTTACAGTTTCATATTACATGAAGACAGTTCACTATGTTGTAACATTATATTTGGTCACATATATCCACAGTTTGAAATGTTTTAATATCTATATAAGTAAATGTGAAGTACTCATAAAAACCATGTTATAGTGAGTTATTTACCAGTGATGTCAAAAGAAGCTGATGAATGAAGAAATGAAGATATCACAAAGTTCTTTTATACATGCTTGTGGTTACAGCTCAGTTTTTTGCACAACTGTTTGTGTGTGCGTGTGTGTGTGCATTCGTGTGGTGGGGTATGCTGCAGTGTGGTCTGTGTGCAGAAGCATTAGCACTTAGCTCCTCAGGCTTTTTGTTTCACAGATATTTGCCTGTTTCACATGAAAATGCCAAGGTGACAACCAGAGGGGAAAAAAGTACATAAAACATACAACAAATAAACGTACTGTTTAAATATTTCAAATGTGCACAAACAATTCTGCTCACCTTTTACATAATTTGTCAATAGGTTTGGACGACAGCTGCAAATGATGCATAAAAGAAAAATAAAGTTTTTGTATGTCAATATCAGTTTGATGAGGGGAGAAAACTGGTATGCTGATCATTCAGAGTCTTGCAAAGACCTTGAGTGATGGGCAGGTCTTCTACAGCAACACAAGGGAAGACATCAGCCTCCCCCGCAGCCACGCCACAGACCGGGCTCCGCCACAATGAGAAACTGTACTTATTGCTGGTTTCACTTTCCTGTAAACAAACCACATTTATGGATAAAAGATTCACAAAGGTGATGATTTATGGTCTTGGCAACTCCCATTGTGTGAGTGCTTCTTTCTTTTGCTCTCCTCCACTCTTTGCTATCTGGTGTGAGTGCAGCTGTGAGTACAGACTATTTCCACAGCTAGTAGCAAATCAAGGTCTTCACTCCAGTGAAATGATTCCTGACCTTGTTCCT